TATCAGCCAATTCAGACATCAAAATATCGAAGTTACTACGTTTTCCCTCACCGTCGTCCCACTCACCGTCATCCCCCAATACACCATCCCTCCTTTCTTCTCCTCTGCTCTACTGCCTCCTCTACATCCTTGCCAATAACCTTCAAATTAAATTACAATATTAAGACATTGATTATATTCTTAATATTATTTAATTACATTTATTACCCTTCTTGCTTCTTCGCTCTATCCAACTTCAACTTCACCATCACTCTAACCACTTCTTCCTTCCCCCATGCACGGATGCGTGCCACTCCGATTCTTTCATAAGCCGCACTGCCTCACAGCCCGACCAAAAATCGAACAGTGCAACCTGCATTTATAATAAAATTTATATTTTTATATAAAAACACAAAAAATTCTTCACTCATTTACCTCTAAGATTGCTATGCACCCTTTGAGTATCTCTGGCTGCCCTTTTTAAAGGTGATTATTGATTCAATCAATCTCGAATGGATATATTCAGCCCAATTGAATTCACCCTTCAAGCCTTCATCACAAATGAGCTTCATATGTTCTTTGTTCGTTGACGTATTACCCGTTGGACAAAGAAAGATACCGACAAGGTATAATAGAACTCTGGCCTTCAGCTCATCCCCAACGTAAGATCCACTTTTTATTTCCTCTTCAATTTCAGCATATGTCACCTTATGCTTCAAACCATATTTGGAGGCAAGTGCTTTCCAGTCCTTACTCTTACAGACTTCTACAACACTTTTGCCTTCATTTTCTACCCCCAATACGGCTGCAGCACATGGGATCCCGAGAGGAAATGAAAAATCACCATATTTAGAAATACATTGCCTGACATCAAATTGCGCCTCCTACCAACGATCCAAAACCTATTTCTTCCAGCACATTCAACTGACCCTTCTCCTTAAGGTGTTTAATTAATAAATTCACCCTTTTAATGATGCATCTTGTCGACACTTCCTACATTTTTTAACAATATATAATGTTATAGTTCTTATATATTTTGTATCAACAACGTATTTACAAGTTTAATGAATACCTTATTTTCATGTGCTTTCCTCCGTTCTTTGTATTTACTATCATTCCTTGACTGTGTGATGTAAGGTTCCTTTTCAGCATCACTCATTGAATTCCATTTGGACCTCACATCTTTTGTCACCTAATATAAAACATAACGTTTCTTAATCAATACATTAACACTAAATACTACTCATGTCAATTTTATTTTACATACCGAACCGCTCTGTGTGCCATCTTCCTTCATCCTTTTGCATTCGGCCATACTGTCAACATTTAAAATTTGTAATCAATTTAAAGTTTATCGATACTTTAATCCAATTACCATTTCAACAATATAACAAAAGACATTGATACTTACTAGAAGTACATATATCCACCCTTGGGTTGCTTTCGAGTCTCGGCCTCAATTTCAAAGTCATCTGCTCCACCACAATTTTCCAACCCATTGACTCCATTTTTCCTTCATATATCAGTTTACGCAAATCAAATTATTTGTTACATACACTTTATTCATATACAAATATAGATAACTACTCTTGTGGTAAAACGGTTTTCTTCAAAAGATTTGAATGGCCACACCAAAATGTGTCGGCACATTATACAACCTATAATATCATTTTCTACCTATAATATTTAATAAAAGTATCGACATTTATATTTTTCCTTGAATACACTTTCTACCTGCAATCGTTACCAAATGCTTCTTTACTCCAAAACCCCAAACAAACATAAAAACCCTATCGCGATTACTGTAATAATAAAAATTAGAGTTTCGACAACATACTTTTTGATTCGACTGCAGCAACAAACAAACAAACTTCGCTTTAGAAACGCCTTCTGAAATGCAGCAACAATTACCTTCGATTTCAAAAACTCGTCCGTTCTATCTATTTTCAGAGGAGATTTAGCTTATATTTTCATCGGATATGTTATTTATATTTAATCGATACAAATACAAAAGTGTCGATACTTTTATGTCAGGTGTCGATACTTTCGAAAGGATAATTACCTATTTCTTTGAAAGTGTCGATAATTTATTACACGTACTTACGAAAGTATAGACACTTTCAATATCCGGTATCATTTTACCGATTTTATCATTTTGATACCTGTTTTATCATATTTTTACCTGTTATATCGTTGTGGATCGATATATTTTTTTAAAGTATCGACACATTATAGGCGCTAAAACTGCTTCTCTTTTAAATTCACAAAGTGTTGATCCTTATATAAAGTATCGACACGTTCAATATATCCGGTAACGTTTACCGGTTTTAATCATTTTGTTACCGTTTTATCATATTTTTACCTGATATTCGTTTTGGATCGATACATTTTTTAAAAGTATCGACACTTTATAGGATTTAAAATGCTTCTCTTTTAAATTCACGAAGTGTCGTCCTTATATTAAGTACCGACACTTTAAATGTATCTGATAGCGCTTTACCGGTTTTATCATTTCTATAACCGGTTTTGTCATAGTTTTACCTGTTATATCGTTTGGATCGACACATTTTTAATTTGGATCGACACGAACCGTAGCACAATTTTTTTAATATTTCTTCATGACTTAGACCTACTTTTATAAGTATGGACACTTTTATAAAATGATATATACTTTTTTTAAAGTTATGTAATTTATGTTTCAATTTTTTTAATAGTGTTTCATGTTTTCCACCTACAATATTAATTTAATAATTTCATTTACACAAAAAATTATTTGATTATTTGATATTTTATAAAATATTATTTAGAATTTAAATTTAACAATATTAACCAAATATAATAATAAATATGTTTTCCACAGTGAAATAAGTATGGACACTTTTATAAAATGATATATACTTTTTTAAAGTTATGTAATTTATGTTTCAATTTTTTAATAGTGTTTCATGTTTTCCACCTACAATATTAATTTAATAATTTCATTTACACAAAAAATTATTTGATTGTTTTGATATTTTATAAAATATTATTTAGAATTTAAATTTAACAATATTAACCAAAGATAATAATAAATATATTTTCACAGTGAAATAAGTATGGACACTTTTATAAAAGGATAGATACTTTACAATATAACAGGTAAAAATATGAAAACCAGATTCATTATGACAAAACCGGTAAATTTACTTGATATGTTAAAAGTATGGACACTTTTATAAAAAGGATAGATACTTACCGATAACCAAAGTTTACCGGTTACCAAATTTTTTAATAGTTTTTCATATTTTCTACCTAAAACATTATTAGTTGTCAACATAATAGGTACCGCTAAACCGAATTTATTAAATACATTTTAATGTATCCGGTAATGCCGTATATTAGCCGTATATTAACCCGCCTTTCCTGAGACAATCCCTCATTTTGATATATTATTAAAAATTTAATATTTAAAAAAATATTTTGACATAATTTAATAATTCTTTATGAGTTTTATCTTATTAAATTAGTGATGCATGTCATATCAAATATTCATTTTAAAAGTTAGTATTAAACGGATGAATTTATAAAATTTTAAAGAATAATTTATAAAATTCTAGCCATACATTGTACTATGAATACTTAAATTAAGATTGATTAATGAAATTTTATTTTCACTCAGATGTTTTCTTGAAGTATTTATTCACAGTGAAAAAGAATTCCTTTGATCGTATTATGATGTACTTAAGATAAATTCGAGTATGTTTTTCAAATGCTCAGAGGTTGTAAACTACAACCAACATTTATTTCTACACTCGTTGAGAAGCGGCGATCAAAGAGATACATTTTAGTCAAATGTATTTGAGCAAGAAGGTAGCAAATCCTTCTTACTCATCCTCGGAATCACAATTCAGAACAAAACAACATACATCACTAGACCAATACCATTTTTTTAATCATTTTTAGTGCTTATGAATATTGTTAATCTCGTTTTATAATATCATATTTTTTAGTCATGACAAATAATTTGTTAATGTTATCAATATTGTAAACATTTTGGTTATTTTATTTTTTCATTACTAATTTTTAGAATATTTTAAAAGGGGTTTTATGAGGAAAAAGTATCTTTCGAAGGCCCTTCTAACGGCAATTTTTTTACGATAATAGTGTGGAAATTTTTTTGGCTCAAATAGTGCACCCTTAAATTATTCGCTCGAATAGGGTCTTTGCTACAGGAAAGGTCGAAGGCAGCGTTTGGTGCGTGCACGATAGGTCGCATTGACCACCAGCTCATCGCATGAATTGCACAGCGTTATACTAATTCAAGGGGATAAAATTTTCTATTCTACCGATCCAATTTCCATTCCATGTTATTATCCACAAGCTGTAAATGAAATAGTAATTAATAAGACGGTTTGTTCTAATCAGATTAAAAGGAAGAGGAAAAGCTACCTTCCGATAAAAGACGGTACCGAACTAAAGTTGAAAATAAAAAGAGCAAATTCTACCGTATTGCATAAAGAATTACATACTCAACACTAGACCAAATTCTACAAATTTTAAAATTGAAAATTTCCAGCCAGTTTTGTTCAGCTCCGCAATAATTTTTTTATACGGACAGTGCGCTCATATATGCCTCCAACAGACTACACGGTCACAAAGGTACAACTCACGAGATTTGAAACGAACACCACGAAAACTGCACTTCGCCCACCCACATCATATAACTTAACCTCCAACGAACATTCATCCAAAGCGTAAAACGACAGAATCATACAAACAAAACATAAACTGGCTTTAATTGGCAAATATAGATATAATGTTCAAAGACACACAAGTGTGGCTGAGCAAATTATGTTCATCCAAAACACATACAAACAAATATACCAGACATGATAAGTTGTCAAGACGTTCTCGACAAATCACATTCGGGTCTAACTACCACCAACCTATCTTTTAATTTGGCCTACAAAGAGAAAAACACAAGCTAAAAGATAGAACAATACATTCCTACAAACACGCTATAGTTCTTCATTTCAAGTCAACTAGGCACGCTCGCCCCTGATCCTGCGAGCCAACTGGATATCCTTGGGCATGATTGTAACACGCTTGGCATGGATAGCACATAAGTTAGTGTCTTCGAAAAGACCCACCAGGTATGCCTCTGCAGCTTCCTGGAGAGCCAGGACAGCATGACTCTGGAAACGCAAATCGTCTGCAAAACAATGTGAACATTGTGAATGAAATGAAAATATGACAATCACCAACAAATTGACTCAAAAGACTTGACCATTTTATACCTTGAAATCCTGGGCAATTTCACGAACAAGCCTCTGGAAGGCAATTTCCTGATAAGAAGCTCAGTACTCTTCTGGTACTTACGAATTTCACTGAGCATATAAAACAACATAGGTCAAGACTCCTTAAATGAAACATCATAACCAAGATAATTAAAAAGTGAAAATATTTGAAAGAATACCGAAGTGCAACAGTTTCCAGGACGGTATCTGTGAGGCTTCTTCACACCTCCGGTGGTGGGGGCAGACTTTCGGCAGCCTAACATACAGCAGTGATAGATCATATGTTAAAAGGACAGAACAAGAAAACTAATACTATGTAAACCTCATAGGTTATGAATGGGTCATATAAGTAACCTTGGTAGCAAGTTGCTTCCTAGGAGCCTTTCCTCCAGTTGACTTACGGGCAGTTTGCTTGGTACGGGCCATCTCTGCATAGATACGGAATATTTTCAAGCTAATTACGATACTAGCATGAAAAGAAAAACATAAGCCCTAATTTTTCAGCAATTTTCAAACCCTAAGATAATGAAATCGGAATTAAGAGAGTAAATAATCAAAAGTCAAACTCCTATGCGATATATAAACCCTAGAAAATCAACGTACTTGCAATTTCAAGATAACCTAACTTGCGCAAAAATTACCATGAAAAACAAACATCAAACATAAGAATCGAAAATTTCAAAAATAGAAATTAATTGAGGTACGTAGAGAAAAGAACGCACCTTGAGATTTGGGATAAAAACTTATCTCTGCTTTGTTCGAAGGTTTGAAAAGGGTAGCGGTTAATAGGTATTTATAGAAGGGTGGGGAATTTGTGAATTAATGTGGATCGGACGGATAAGATATAATATCCTTGTGTTTGTTGGGTACGAAATCTGACGGTTAAAACGGTCACGAGTTGTGTTTTCTGAGAGGAAACTGACGGTTTGGATTAGATTATAGGGGGAAGACACGGATCCTGATTGTTTGATTACTTGATTCTAATTGGTGGTTGAGGAAAACGCATTTTAGGTCTAAATGCTTTTAGCTTGAGAAGTTAAGTTGCTGGCTTCTTTGGATTCACCACAGAAGGTCTGGCCCATGAATAGATTTCCAGCACAATTTAAAATTTAATTTTAAAATTTAATTATATATATATATTAAATATATCCACTAAAAATTAATTACTCTCCTATATTCATATTTTGTGTTCGATCTTGACTGGACACGTACTTTTAGGAGTATTGTTTATGGTAAACTACAAAATAATAAAATAACAATTTATCCCTTAAAATATCAAGTATTTGTTATAGTAGGAAACGGTCATATACTTTTAAATCCACCTAAATAATGGCACTAAATATGTAAATTTTTGTTATATTTTAACGCCAATACCAAAATTTTAGCACCAATTTCAATCCAACTTAGATCTTTTTCATATTTCTTATATCAAAATATCAACTTCTTTAAAAGGTCAATCACCGTTCTTCCTTAGGTCGTCAAACTATTTTTCTTGCTTTGAACATTAATTATAAAAAAATCTCATTATAATTTTCTTGCTTTAAACCCTAAACCTTAAACCAAAAGAATATGTATGCTACAACGAGTCTTTCTTAATAACTACAATAAAAGACAATAAAAAAAAACAATTGAGTAAAACTGTAGACACACATTTTCATCCGACCTTTGTATAGTATATCATTATATATTCTTATAGTATATTTATATTGTATAGTATAAACATATTATATTAGTATAGCATGCATATACATTATATTTATAGTATATGATCTGTATTATTTATATTTATAGTACATATATTATATCATTATATATCTTTATTACATATTATATATTATTAACCTATATTAGAATTCTTTATTTATTTATTTTACGATTAGGTACAATCCAACCAAGCCCTACTAGGCCCAACAGTTAAGTCTAACATATGGGAGGCCCACGTTGCAAGACCCTATCAGACATAGGATTTCATCTTTCGCCGCAAGTTCTTGTCCGTCGGATCAGATTGAAATCCGATGGTCTGATTGAAAGCACTTTAAGGCTCTTGGAGAGTCCTCGTTCCAGCCGCAACAAGCCACCACCCACTTCCCAGAATTCTCAACACCATCGTGGATAATCTCTTTTAGAGATTTCGAGAAAGTCAAGCCAAAAATAGAAAAAATAACATTTCAGTCTAGATAGGACTCTAAAACGAACCAAAAATAATGGATTACTAAGGCTATAAATCCATGCAAAGTTAAAACAAAAAAGGGTAGACTTGAAGGCATATAACACTTGTAAGCTAAAAAATATTAATATACAAGGTAACTTTTTTACCTTTTTTTCGATTCGGTTGGTTCCTGCATGATTGCATGTTGGTGTGTGTGGTTCTTTCCTTTTTTTTTCTTTTTTTTGAAAAAAATTGTTGTTGGAGAAGAGCCGATGATTTAAAGAGAATTTTTTTTTCGAAAGATCTTTATCAGATCTAGTTCTCTACGAGGCGTTTTGATGAAAACTGTTAATGTATTTGAAAAGAGGAGGGTGAGAGCTTTCGAATGGAATAAAAATGTTTGGTTTTGCCGCCGATGAACGGCAACCGACGCCAGTCCACGGCGGCCGATGAGGCGGACCACGGCCGGAATATGGGTTCATATGAATTCCGGTGCAGTGTTCTTCATAAAATGAAGAACATGAAGAACGTTTCAGAGAAAAGAAAGAAGGGTTTTGATCCATTTAAGTGGATATGTGAAAAATGAAAGTTGTTTGTGCATTATTGGGCTTTATAGTCGACCCGTGAACCCAATTCAAAGCCCCAAGATTCGCGTGTTTTCAATGAATAGGGTCAAACTACGGTTTTAATCCCTGAAACTTTTCATTGAAAATTGATTTTACCCCTTTTGCTGAATTTCATTAAAATTTCTTTTAAATCTTTCATGCGCTTTGTTTTATTTGTCCAATTTGTCCTTATTTTTCTTTATTTTATTTTTGCATTACAATTTTTATTTTAATTTAATTAATTTTCAATTTTTTCTTCCCTTTACTTTATTTGTTTTTTTATTTTTTATTCCACGTTTTCTTAATATACATGATTCTACCCCCTTGTTGAGCATGAATTTATTCCATTTATTTTTTGTGTTATATTCTTTTAATTTTATTTCTATTTATTTCTCGGCATGTATATATATATTTGTATTCCATTTTTATTTGTTTCATTCAAAGCATTAAAATTTAACCTTTTATTGATTCTTCCTTCTGACCCACTCAATATTTTATTTTAGAGTCTAACATCTTTTTGACCTTTTTAGGGGTACTTTTAATTGATCAAATGTATGTAATTTGGATCGAATTTTTACTTTTAATTTAACTTGCAATTTTTGCAATTAAGACAACTGGAAATTAAATTAGTAGCGAAATGGCAGTACAAAGGTGTTAATCCTTCCTTGACTGTAACCGACTTCCGAGCCGGACATATTTTTGGTGAGATGCGGATCAGGTAAGAAAATAAACCGAGGTGTCCAATCAACCTAGTGTTTATTTTTAAATATAAATGATCGGTGGCGACTCTAACCTATTTATTTAAGTCGAAGCTCAATTCTGGACTCACCCGAAGGATGATAACCACAAAAACAGATTGTCAAGCTTTGTTTGAAACCCTGCTAAAATAAAGTAACAATGAAAAAGCTATCAAAAGACTCTGTAAATTGGACTGTCGCTATGTTTTCAGTCTCAACAAGAACTGTGAGAAGATTGTAAAATAGAGTAAAAATGTTTGTGGAGCAAGGCATAAAGGTTGATCTGGGTAGCATATATTATCGAAGAATTTTTACAGAGAAGAGGATTTCTCGATATAGATCATATCTTGAAAGTTCCACTTCGTAAACGGACAAAGGTTTGTTCGATGACCAAAGCTTTAGACATGTCAAAGTCTATTCTTCATCGTCGAATTAAGAAAGATTTCATCAAGTCACATATTAATTCTATAAAGTCTTATTTGACTGAAGCAAACAAGAGTCAGACTACAATTTTGCTTGTCAATGCTTAAGTCACACATTCTCATCACAAATCCTTTATTTATTAACATTGTTCAATATGGTGCATATCAATAAAAAGTGATTTTATTTATCAAAAACATCATAGCGATATTTTCTTCATCCATATATGTTGGGATTGTTGAAGCTCAATTTAGACAACCGAAAAATATACAGGGTGTGAATTGGCAAATAATGCTTAGGGAGTAAGGAGAAAAAAAAGATACACAATTTTGCTCAGCGATTTCTAGTAGTTCAACTTCTCAATTAAGTCTACCTCCACTACCTTAGCTCCTTACTAAGGATTTTTCAACAAATTCACTAATTTGTTCTTTCTTTTTCAAGGATCAAGAGTAACTTCTACAACCTCTGAAGTTTTTCAATTGACTAAAATAGAACCAATCTCCTTTTACAAAAGGTAAAAAGAAGTAAACAATAAAACTTCTCTAAGGTAGGTGTTTACAAAATTAAGCTCACAAAAACACAATATTTACAAAAGAATATAAATAAAGAGTGAAAAAGCTTTTCTCGTGTTTGATTTCTTGGATAGGTGTTCTAACCCTTCTTTAAGTATCCTCAACTTTTATTTATATGTTGGAATGAGTTTGTGGTCGTTTCTAGCCGTTGGGAGTGATTTGGAGCATTTGGGGATGTTTTTATCTACAAAATAAAATTGTTCAGTACAGATGGTATCGGCATTCCTATAGGGAGTAACGATACTACCTTTGTTATTTTTAAATAAAACTAGCCGTTGGGTCTAACAGTATCTATATAAGCCTATGGTATCGATATTACTATGTAAAGTAGTATCGGTACCCCTTTGGGTATCGGTACTTATTTTGCATTCTAGAATTTGAGCAATGCTGGTAGTATCGATACTACCTAGTGAGTATCGATACTTCTTTTACCTTGGGTATCGGTACCACATGAACAATATCGATATTGTTCATATAGAATCGATATTGTAAGAGCAATATCGGTACTACATACGTTGAAAAACAGTTTTGTGCTCAAATTCACTTTTAATGGACTTTGAATTATTTTTGAAAACTTTGAAAACTTTGAATAAATTCAATTCAAGTCAAAAAATATTTTGTCATAATTGTTATATCAAAACATAGTTCAATAATTTCCCCCTTTTTGATATAATAAAATATTTGAAAATTTGTTTTTGAAAAAACTCCCCCTTAAAAAATATTTAATGAAAAATATATCAATTGTTGGAAAATTATTCAGCTCCCTTTTTTCATTAAGAAATTGAATTTTTCAAAACCATACTTACTTCTCCCCTTTTTGTTATATCAAAAATAATTCAACTTTAAAGTTCAAAAATAACATTGGAGAGTAAGTGGTAAATTTTATCATAAAATCATTTGAAAAATCAAAAGCTCCCCCATAATAAGTGCATTCCAAACAAAT